GAAACGGGAGAAAAACTTTAAGCAGAGACTTGAAGAGCTTATTGAGTACCCAAATCCAATTAAATCTTTCAGCATCTGTTACAATCGATGGACTGTTAGAATTAAATTCGGTCGAGATCAAGTGGAGATGAATAAATAGCTAAATGAACTAATCCTCGCCACCGTGTTTAAATGCAGCTGAAATTGTCTTTGTTCCTTGCTTATATTTTGCACACAAAAGAGCAACCTTCGGACGACTATATGCAGCCCAAACAACAGACGAGTTACAGACTGAGGCGCCTTCGTATCGTTACACACTAGCTTGTAATACTTAAAAGCATATATTATACTATTTATCCAAAGAATCATATTTCAAATAACATTAGAACACATCAGGGTGAAACCTCCCTGGAATCGAGCTGCTTTGCTGAGCCTGCTTCAGGTGCAGTGTAAGGGCATAGTTGTTAACCTGATATGGTAAACATTCAATCGATTAAGAAAGATCCAACTACGTCATAGAATGCACCAATAGAAAAATTCAAACCAATTATCATCGACAATGAAATGCTTTCAGGTTGGTGAGTTCAACCTCCAATGTCCGCAACTGGTCCTGGTACTGAGACACCAGCTGCTTCAATTGCTGCAGCTCCTGGTCCCTATCTTCATATTCTTTCTGACGTTCGTGCTGAATGGACACTGCTCGCTTCAGAATTGTATTTTCCTGAATAAGTGCTTCCACTTGCTCCTTGAGCATTATATTTTCCTATAACAATGTAATTGAAAACAAACAAAAAGAAAGCCTCCATCAAATATTCTTTTCTTTTTTTGTTCCTCCACACCCCAACATCTCTACTACTACTAAGAATTCTGCACACTGCTGATAGTAAGACTGTAACCATAGTAAACCTGGTGGATGGTTTGCGCTGCCTCTGCACTTGCACGTGCATGGATGGACTTCTCCAAAACCTCAAGCACTCTAGAAGCACGAGCTTTGGCATCATCCATGTCAGAGGCACTCATCATCTCTCTAACAAATAGCTCCACCCAATCCGCACCATCCTTCGAAAGATTTTCCTCACCAAATGGAACCTCCCCATTAGTTGTCACTGAACATGGAAAAAAACAGCAATCATTTCATCACTACTCAATAGCAATGACCTTAGTTTTAGTTTTATCCGACCAGTAGGAGCATATTAGTTTTCCTTTTGTTCTTTCATTATCGTCATTAAATTGCTTAGATTATATATCTTAGACAAGGCGTTATCTGAAAATGCGAAATATCATGGAAAAAAATTCATGCAAATATTTACAATATTCAAAGCCAATAATGTTGAAATACCCCATATAATCAATGCTGATAGATTATTAATAAAGTTCTCTAAATGAACCTTGTGATTGGAGTTGAACACTTCCTTCCCCTGCTACATCCGATACGCCTGCAGCAGCTGAAGCTGAATATTGGTCAGAAGATCCTAGTCGAAGCTCATTCAAACTTCTAATAGCCAAACCCAAATCATCGCCACATTCTT